ACCTCCGGCCCGCTATCCATTCCTGGAGAGCGCCGCCGTTGCCGTCGCCGCTCTTTGCGGCGGCGGATAACAAGGCGGCGTTCCCATTCGGCGGCTTCCTTTCGCGACATAACATCGCGATAGAAGGAGGCCGCCGCCCCCCATGTCTCCTCGCTCCCGCACATGGCGCTGCTGGCTCCATGCAGTGCATGTCACCAGCGTATGGTGCGCCGTGTCCACAGGCTCCGGGCAGTGATGACAACCGGTGGTGGGCTCCTTCCCTATCTGATGCAGGTACTTACCGTAACACCCGTATCCCGTCAGCACCTGCACCAGATGGAAAGTGGTTCCCCGTCCCCTCCTGTCCGCCACTTCGGGCAGACAGAGGCGGACGGCCTCGGCCGTTCGAAGCCCGGGTCCCCAGAGGTCAGCTAATATGTCCGACCACCGTTCCAGTACCCGGGCTCTGGCCTGTAACTTCAGGGTCGCCAGGCCCCTGGCCATTGGTCCCTCCCCTCCCTCGCGGAGCGCTTTGACTCTCCAGTAGAGGGTATACCTCTCATGAGCCAGGAGCTCCACGAGGGGGGGGAGCCGGCCAGGGTAGAGGTCGAACGAGCCTCTTTTCCTCATAATGATACTTAAGAAAATCATTTCTATTATTTGAATAAGTATTGAGCCAGCGATTAGCTATATTAAACTTAGTGTATGAATTTTAAAGCTTAACAATATATATAGAGTAATTTTATAATATTAGGTGTACAAATGAATAATCCAAATTATTTTAAGCAGTTATGAAATCAATTTTAAATTGGATAGATTTTCCCGCTCTTTTGTGATTACGCAATGTTGACATATAGCTACTAAAAAGGACATATAGTTTGGCGAAAGGCCCAACATAACTTTCAAAAGTATTCAGTTCAGTACAGTCGAAAATGGTAACAGATAAGGTGCAAATCCAACACTGCATTCTTTTGCACGACATCCAACGAACGAAACGAATTCCAACAAGGAAAAAATGCTGCAAGAGCATGCAAATCGATTTGTTCCTTTCTCGGCGAAAGTGTTGCATCGTACTATGTGTGCGCATTTCAGTTTAAGCGGTTTAAAAGCAGTAATTTCAGTCTAATCGACAAACAACGCCCTGGAGGCCCTCCGAAGTACGTTAATGATGATTTGGAACAACTGCTCGCTGAGAATTCGGCACAAACACAAAAAGATCTTGCAGAACAGTTGGGAGTAACGCAGCAAACGATTTCCAAACGCCTACATGAGATGGGAAAGATCCAGAAAGAAGGAAAATGGGTACCTAACCGCATGAACTCACTGAAACCAACAAAAATCAACGAGTGACAGCGTATCTTTTTCTTCTCAATAAGTAGCGTCGAAAGTCTTTCTTGTGGAAAATCGTTACGGACGATGAGAAATGGATATTCTATGACAATCCGAAACGCAGAAAGTCATGGGTAAATCCCGGCGAATCATCAAACTCGGTCGCAAAACCCAATCGTTTCGGAAAGAAGGTTCTTCTCTGCATTTAGTGGGATATCAAGGGCGTGCTTTATTATGAGTTGTTGGAACTGGATGAAACAGTTACTACGGACTGCTACCAACGTCAATTAATCTGCTTGAGTCAAGAATTGGAAAGAAAACGCCCGTATACTGGCAAAGGAAAATGTCCAGTGAAATTGTTGCATGACAACGTCAGGCCACACAATGGCTGCGTTCAATAGAACAAAATGATCAGTGAGCGCTTAGTGATTGGAGCATTCTGTTAGATTCTTCATAGATCCAGAAGTATTTACCAATCAGAAGCGAGAATCACTAAGCGCTCACTGATAACTTTGTTCTGCTGAACGCAGCCATTGCTTCCAATACAAAAGACACCATAATGAGTCTTGGCTGGGACGTCTTGCAGCACCCGGCGTATTCACGAGACATTGCTCCATCCGATTATCACTGTCCGATATGCACTTCCAATCAGTGGATGAGATCCGAAAATGGCTTAACGACTTTATCGTGTCCAAAGACGTAACATTTTTCCGAGATGGAATTCATCAGCTGCTTGAAAGATGGCTTAAAGTTATAGAAAGCAACGACGAATACTTTGATTGAACAATTTAATTTACTTTCTTTTAAAATAAATCTTGAATATAGCTGAAAAAATTGGATTATTCATTTGTACACCTAATATATATATATATATATATATAAATATATATATATATATGTATATACATTTGTACACCTAATATATATACATATATATATATATGTATGTATACAGATTTCTTTACCTCTCTTCCCTCACTGATTATCATCTTCATTCTTTTTCCAGAACGCAGTGCTTGAACCACGAGCACCGTTCTTCTCTTCCTTACTTTAAGAGTGTTGTGCTTGAACCACGAGCACCATTCTTCCTCATTTCCCTAAGAACGATAGTGCTTGAACCACGAGCACCATTCGCCTTTTTATTCTTTAAACTTAACCACGTCCCTTCCACCTACCCTATAATAGATATTGTTAAAATAAGTATTACCAAAAAACCTCTTATATCGAGAAGAACAAGGAGAGCTGGACGGCGGATTCAATTTAGACGTCTGTTAAAAAGTTATTATAATCCAGGCACGCTCGACCTGGCTGTTTTCCAAACAGATCCATCAAAATCTTCGGTCCCGAGAATAAAATCTGAAATAAAGGGAAATATATTTGAAGTTAAATTCAACACTAGCGAGAATATTATTATTTTTAAACCTAACAGTAACCCACTTCCAAAGGCAACAGATTCAAATAATAAAGATTTGGACAAGAATAGTGCTGATCGGAAATAAACCAAACAAATCTAGACATTGCATGTTCTATGCTTGTCCAGGACGTAACAACCTCCATACTACTGGAAAATAGTCTTAAGCCCGTGTCACACTACGGATTGAAGATCAAGGATTGCGGATTGAAGATTGATATTTGACCAATCGGAATGAAGCAAATCAAAACCGAAGTTCGTTGATTCGTCGAAATCTAATCTCCAATCCGCAATCCTTGATCTTCAATCCGTAGTGTGACACGGGCTTTACAGAATTTAATCTATCTATACCGTGAGAGTAGCGTTGGAGCAGTACCCTATTTTGCCCAGAGCCATTTATTGAATTGAATTGAATACGTTATGTATTATGTATTATGTGCAAAAGCCTGTGCTCTTGCCCTAACGCTCGTGATTTATACTATCGTTAAATGGAATTTTAACTTAGGCCTGGTCTACAATACGTGTCGTAAGTTGTAAGCCGTAAGAATTGGCGAATCACAGTCGATTATTACAAAAATAATCAGCTATAATTGGTCAGTTCTTACGGCTTACAGCTTACAACACGTATTGTAGACCAGGCCTTAAGGCTCGTCTAATTAGCTGTAAGAGTAAGGCTGTAAGGTTGCAAGACACGAAATGAAATATTTTCATTCGTTGACAGCTTACGTTACAGCCTTACAGCCTTACTCTTACAGCTATTGTAGACGAGCCTTTATACAAGTAATACCTCGTCTACAATAGAAGTCATAGAGTCGTAAGTCGTACAAATTGACCAATCGCGGTCGATTATTTTTCTCTTACCGGACTATGATTGGTCAATTTCTACGACTTACGACTCTACGACTTCTATTGTAGACGAGGGGTTAAAATCATTCTACAATACGTGTCGTAAGTTGTAAGCCGTAAGAACTGACCAATTATAGCCGATTATTTTTGTAATAATCGACTGTGATTCGCTAATTCTTACGACTTACAACTTACGACACTGAGGCCTGATCTACAATACGTGTCGTAAGTTGTAAGCCGTAAGAATTGGCGAATCACAATCGATTATTACAAAAATAATCAGCTATAATTGGTCAGTTCTTACGGCTTACAGCTTACAACATCTATTGTAGACCAGGCCGTATTGTAGAATGACCTTTAAGGTTCGTCTACATTAGCTGTAAGAGTAAGGCTGTAAAGTTGTAAAACACGAAATGAAATATTTTCATTCACTGACAGCTTACGTTACAGCCTTACAGCCTTACTCTTACAACTAATGTAGACGAGCCTTAAGTCTGGGAAAGTTTTGAACGTTTTCAGTCAAGGAAGACGCAACTACCCAGACAGCACCGGACAGCCAATGGATGTACGTTTCACGTCCAATTTATGTCCGTATGTCCGATTTACGTCCATGGACATAAATTGGACGTAACAAGGATGTCCTTATTGGACATCCTTGTGGACTTGTGGACGTACATCGAACTTGTAGGACGTCCGATGTACGTCCATCGGACGTCCTATGTCCGAAATTGTGACAAACGTACGTCCTATGGACGTCTTTTGTAAAAAAAATGGTCATATAACGGACGTCCAATGGACATCCGTGTGCTGTCTGGGTATTAACAAGCAAAATACATTATAGTATGTGAAAATTTAGTTGAAAATGGTCGCATTAGAAGAATGTGTCCTATAAATCTTCAAAGGACACCTCAGGGATTCTCCGGGCACAAATCTCCAAAAGGCATCCCAGCAGCTAGATTCTGTAATTCGTTATTGGAGTTAACGACACTTCCGTTATCGTTGCGCAGCTTTTCTACGGTATATAAAAGCTGCGCAACGATAACGAAAGTGTCATTAATTCCAATAACGGGTTACAGAATCCAGCTGCAGGGATGCCCCGGAGGTATCCTCAGGACATAAGATGTCCTCTGGTCGTTCCTCGAAGATCTGTACTGTTTGAAACAAGAGTAGAAGTTTTAATATGACAACCCTAACAGCACAGATGTCCAGAGGATGTTCAAAGTACGTCTTAAGGACGTCCTGGGGACGTTTCTTCATCCTCAGGACGTCCATAGGACATCCCCAGGAGATCATGTGCTGTCTGGGAAATATATTTATGACGGTTCAGATTCTTTCATTGTTACAATTAAACACCGATTATTACCGTAATCATTTTGAAAGATATATTTGTCGCTACACGTGCTAACTTTCGTTTACAATTTCACAGATAACGTTTGAACGCTATTTTCTAAACAGACGAAAACACATATGGACGTTGACATTCATAGCATGAAAAATAGGCAGCTGATCTTAGAATATTCACTATTTGGATTATATATGTGAATGATTTTTAAATAAATAATCAGCTGGTCTGTATATATATTTGCATGTAATAAAGGATATGAAAGTATAAGAGACGATTTCAGACATGGCGTTTATATCGATACATCTACGCAGACGACCCGCGTAAAAATAATACTGTAGATAGAGATGTAGGCGAGATGTAAAAAGTTGACCAAGCATGAGTTGCAACAAAGATAACGCATGCATTTCGGTGCGTTTTCAGATCGATCACGTCTCGTTATAACAGATAGGGATCTAGGTTATTTAAATCAGCTGTTGAATGTATGACATATGTTTTGTTTCATTTTGTTGAGTCACATCGGTTCTGTGATATGTCAGATGGAATAACGAAGTAACATCAGTAAGTTCAATGACCGTCTTCCGACTGAATATGGCTGAGAATAATCGTATCTTATAAAAAAAAGAAAAGATAAAGAACGGAGAAGTTAGACTTGCAAGAAGAAATCAATTTTGATAAAGTCACGCTGACACAATCCTCAAATGTAAGTGAAGTAACAGACTCAAGGAACATTGAGAGACATATGCATATATTCGTGTTTTATGATATATAAAAATATATATGGTTTTTAATGATTTATCTTGATGATCTCTTTAGAATGAAACATTATAACTCATTCCAATGTTTTATTGAACTCAATTAATGACAAATCATATTTTTTTGTATTGTTTATTATTCTGTTATAAATTTCACCTAACTGTAAATACTTCTAAAAGGCAAAAGTCATAATACTGATATATATTTAAATATTCTTCTGTGTTGCTTATCATTCTGTTGTAAATTGCATTGAGTCATCAATGTTTTTACAAAACAAAGATCACAGTATAAATGACATAAATTTATATGACTTTGATGTTATAACATGTGACACAATATAACAATTGTAAAAATCTTCCTTGAAAATATTAGAGCTATTTTGCAATTACTATTGTGTATATAATTATTATTATGTTATTTACATGACAAGTTCAATATAAATACAAATAGTTCAAGCATAGTTTTATTATTTTATTGAAAAGAATTAAGTATATATATTATTCAAGTAATCAAATTTTGACAACTGAATTATTTTATTTTAATAGATTGATAATTTATAATATCTATTGATAATCTATGTTGGATATATATTGGATTCTTCAAAATAGTGAGTTTGTCTTACAATTCTATTTCTTTAAATAGAAAATAGAATGATACAACAGTCTTAATGGATCGTTGCAAGAAATTCTTCACCAGAAGGTAAATTTTACTTTAATTTTTTCCAAACATTAAATATTGAATTAAATGTTTATTATTTTCCAAATATAAATGATAACTAGAATATCTATAAGCTTTTTAAAACTTAATTTTTTTATGCTCTAATCTTCTAATTCTTTATCATCTAATATATTTTCAATTTGTAAATAGATATACCAAACTTTTTTAGGCATACCGAACCCTGTCTTGATGATTTAGAAACTGAGTTTGAAAGAAAAGAACGATGGAGAAGTATATATGCAATTTACTTTACAATGTTCTTGATGTCTCTTGGCTTCAGTATTATATTGACTGGTGTTTGGCCATACTTAGACAAGGTGTGTAACAAATATCAAAATATCTATCAGAAAAATCATGCAAGTTATATACAATAAATTCTTTAATATGTACACACTTGTATATTTCAGTTGGATCCTACAGCAGGAAAAGAATTTATGGGATATGTAGTGGCAGCTAATCCACTGGGACAAATGTTGTTTTCACCTCTGGTGGGTTGGTGGGGCAATAAAAGAGGATCAGTCAGATTACCACTTTTAGTGACCCTAGCATTGTTCACTTTAGCATCTGCAGCTTACAGTATCCTTGAGGTGATACCTGGTGACAGAAAAATTTACATGATTGTTGCCAGATTCTTCGTTGGAGTTAGCTCCGGTTAATAAAATTCCCCAATGTTAAGATTATATCAGTGTAGTACAACTACATGTTAGAGAAAACTGTTTTACTTCAATTAATAAGCAACTCAATCTTCACTTTCATAATTTAATTTCACTTCACAAGTATGTATTATTTCTCTTTTGCAGCCAACATAGCAGTAGCAAGATCTTACTTATCTGCAGCTACAAAACTTTCAGAACGTACACATGCAGTCTCCATGATATCTCTTGCACAGGTGATCTTTTACAATCTTTATTGTGAAACTGGCTTGTCTACTTTTATACAGAAAACATAGAAAGCAAACAATATAATATACTTTTAGGTATTGGGTTTTGTAGTGGGCCCTGGACTACAAGCTGCTGTTACACCTCTCGGAGACCATGGTATTACATTTATGATGCTGCCTTTAAACATGTACACAACGGCTGGTTGGATTAATGTAATAATGGGTATCTTTAATTTCATTTTGTTCCTCCCGTGGAATTTCAAGGAACACAAAATCGCCATAAAGGAAGCCATGCGTAACGAGGGAAAGGCTACTGGTAATAGACTTGCTACTTTGTATCGATTGCATACATATGTATTTATATGTAATGAAGTTCACTGCATTTATAGAGAAAGAAACTTGGAAGTCCTTAAAACCTGACTACCTAGCATCGTGGACTTTAATTTGCGCATTCTTCGTTTTGGTATTTAACTTCGTTCTTCTTGAAACGTAAGTATATTTACTTGCATATGAAATGTTGATGTAACATAATAGAAAAATTGCTTACCAGATAAAAGATTTCAATTAATAAATTCTTTTTTCCTCAGATTGGGTACCTCTCTCACCATGGATCAATTTGCTTGGACCAAGCAAGAAGCAATGTACTACATGGGAATATTGATGAGCGTCGGTGCCATAGTAGCATGCATCACATTTGCCATGATTGGACCACTCTGTAAGAGGTAATTGCAAAAATTTCAAAATATATTATCATCCGTTCACTTATTCAACTATAAAATTACAACTTGCATAGTAACAAGTTAGTTATAATACTTGAGTGAATCATTATCATTCATTTCATAGATTATTGAAGTATACAGAACAACTTTTGGTTTTAGATTCGAGGAACGTAAAGTGATGTTATGGGGTGGATTCTTCTTTATGGTGATTGGACGAGTGTTATGCATCCCATGGGGTCCCAATCTTCCTAAGATTGCGGATTTCGGACGTGGGTATTAATTTCAAGTTACACCAACATCTGATAAAACTTACGTTACATTATGCTACACGATAATAATGTAATGTAGTATGTAATCGATGATTCTCTGTAACACATATCTGCTTCAATATCTTGTAGCGTACAATAATATCACGGAAGACGTCAATGGTACAGAGATTGTGGGCTGTCCAATTACTCAGGAATGGTGTCTGTACACTCCACAAATCACGGTTACGCAATTTCTTGTTGGTTACGGCTTTACCGCCGTAGGTTATCCCTTAGGAGTCACTCTGATACAGACGATATTCAGCAAGATTCTTGGACCGCGCCCGCAAGGTGTGTGGATGGGTTTAATGACAGGTGCTGGTTGCGCATCTCGCGTCATGGGTCCGGTTTTCGTTGGTTTTATTTACACTCGCTTAGGTACATATCATACATTTGGTGTTACCGGCGTGATGTTAATCATCTCCATGTTGTGGTTACAACTTGTGAAGAAGCGTCTGATTCCACCAGAGTTGAAGAAAGCCGAAGAGATGCCGAATGAGAACGTAAAGGATGTCGAAACTCCATTAGTACATTTAAGATCTGATAGTACTCAAGCATCGCCTGAACTTCGGAGGTCTAACGGCACATCGAGCGGTGATAAGGTATAACAATCGTTGACGGAATAAATTGATCTTTCTTACGGGTGCAATAATGATACGACTGCCACTACAAATTGTATATAAAGTAGCAGGAGACAATATTGCAATCATGATGCAAATGGATTTTATATTTTTTATGAATATATACATAATACTACGAAGTTACTATTACGGAAATTATACATTCTGTTTCAATGCAATGTAGATATTTTATACAATATTATATATTTTGTTTCGAATGTGAACAAGACGAGGAATACGCTTACTCGGAATTGTTATTAATTTTACTACATTTACAAACAACTTTAAACTGCTTATACACGTTAGATACAATTACAAAATGTTACTTGTATTATAAAGACAAGCTTGCCATAGATAATTTAATCAAAAGTGGCATTTACCGACTATTCTTATTTTGTTTTCTTGAAGGAAATTGTCAATTATTAAATTAATATAATTTTACCGGAGGAATAGTTGGTAGATCAATTTTGATACAAATGACTTTTATATACATACAATTGTATTATAAGTACGGATTATAAGTTGCGGATATGTACAAATCTATTAAGCTGCCATAAAAATGATGATTACATTTAAAAATTTTGCGAAGTTACTGAAAATTGACTAATCGATCGACTGTTAGTCTCAAAGATTCCTACTTGTCAATTTTATACTGCAAATATCAATATGACACATGTTTTTGCTCAAAATATATTTAGATGTTAAAATGTTTAGATCGTTTTGTTTTCCAATATTTTATTAATTTACATAAATAAATGAATGAAATGGTCTATCTTTCATCTAACTTAAAGAATAAAGTCTGACCTAAATTGAATAGAAATCCAAAAAATGTAGCTTTAATTTAGGAAAAATGAAAAAGAAGTTCAAACGATGCGTTTAACAGATATATAAATATAATATTTTATATCAAAATGAGTACTTCAAGAGAGATTAGTATAAAGATTTATAATAAAAATAATACAAGCGCACATAATGTTAGAAAATTATTATTGTTAAAGATATAATTATAAAAAATTATATATAAATATATAATTATATATAAAAAATTATAATAGGAATATATTATATCATGAAAACAAGTACGAATTGTTACCCAAAGTGCAATTATATTTATAGCACACAATGCAATGATTCATAACTGCAGAAAGCAATATTAGAAAGTAATATATGAAAATGTATATTTTTTTAATGTTTCTACGAATAATAAAAAATAGACTTAACGCGATTTGCAAATTAGAATATACATTGTACTTATATATGTATATCTTTCTATACAAATTAGTGAAAAAGAAATGTCAAATATATAAAACTGAGATCAATATTATGCATCGCCCTATATAATGATATAAGTATCTAATTTATTTTTGTTTTATCTATTCCTTCCTTGAACGACGATGAAAATTGTTAAACTGCGTGTATTCATGTAAAATTTTTAACACTAATTAACTATATTCATTCGAACAAATATCAAATATTAAATTTTTACTTTTATTTTTCTGTGATAGAAATTATATTTGGTTATATAAATTCATACATGGTCTTATATATCCTTAACACGAATATAATCAAATTTTAAAACCTAAAAAATGCTGCATTGTCAAAAAATTGACTTATTATATAAACATATAGATTCTCATGGATGTTGTGCTATTACTTATACTGACATAAATGCTAATGATACGATAAAAGTGCATAGTTGTTATGGATTACAAAAATGATTAATATGTGTCCTCTTACATCATATATGAACTGTAGAAATGCAGATCCATTCATATATAAATAATACTTCTAATTACAATTAATCTTTTTTCTTTGGTTTCTTAGGATTACGCGAGCGTGACTTTGCTTTACACAGTGGACAAATTGGTGCATTCCTATGAATTTGTTGATGGCATGAAAGGCAGGATTTCATAGGTGGTGGTTGTTGCCTGTAAAACAATTGAAATTTCTTTGTTTTATCTGCTGCAGCAGCAGTTTCATAGATTTATACTGTGGACATTTGCCATCTAGTTAACTTTCTATTCTTATATAAAAGATATAATAAAGGGGTCGAGATATACCAGTGGTACCTGAATGTTGGAGCTGGGGGCCCTGGAGCTGGTGGCAGTGGTCTGGGTTCTGGTTTGCTAGGTCCTTGAAGCGGTTGTGGAGCAAGGAAAGGTGTAGAACCACCTGGATGTCCAGGATGGTGTAATCCAAGTGATGGTAATAAATCATCACCTCGTACCTCTACTCTCCATTCTGCTTTCTGCATCGGACGCTCAAAGTAGCTATGAACAAATCGTCTACACAATAAAAGTTTAACTCAACGCAGTCTACCATTTGATTTTTAATTTATTAGATGACAGACATTATCTTTCCATTCATAAATTCTGATAGCTAAATAATGGTCAATGTACTTACTCAGGTGAAATAAGATCTGACTCTGTCTCATATAGCTCTGGTAACCTTTCCAAGCCCAAGAATTCTCTCCGCATACGGTCAATATCATGCTTTAATGGCTGATAGTCATTATTGTGGATCAATTTTGCAGTTTCCCTTGCTCTATTGCGAGCTTCTTCTGCTTGTTTAATTACAGATTCCATCTAACAGAAAGAAAAGAAGCTTGTTATCAGTTTATATATATATATTTGTGCGATATATTTCATATTAATGTTGACAGTTTAAAAGTTTATATACTATTTCTCAATGTTACATAAGAAACTTACTGCATTTATATCTGCATGTATCTGACGTAGCTCCTCTACATGTGCCATTTTCTCCTGCATTAGCAGATCCATTTCCTGCTTATACTCTAACAAACATTTCTCCTCCTGTTCAGTCTGTTCCACCTCTTGCAATATTCTTTGTTTCAATTTCTCCAACTGAAGAGTTTTCGACCTGATGGAACATAAAGGAAACTCTTAGTGCATAATATGCTTAATTAAACAAATTTTACTCAAATATTCATATATATTATGTATACCTGATGTCTTTCAAAGCTTCCAGCTTCGCAAATATTACCACCGTCTCGGACGCTGACATGTCGGAAGTTAATCCCGGATATTTATCGCTGTTACGAGTCTCGTGGAATTTTTTAGCAGCGACTTTTTGCTCACCGAATTACCGCGAATACAGAACCGTAGCAATTAAAAAGGTTCAAGGGAATCAAGTTGGGCATGGCATTTGGAATAATAATTCGATTACGGATAGATCCTCGGCTCCACCAGCTGATAACTGTATTTTGGAGAACTATCTGTCAAACCTGTCAAACAATATCTCGAGGACACAACGAACGAGTTAATTAATCGTTTTCGTCGGTTTGGTCTACCCGCATGAGATAGTAAACTTCGAATCTTTTCGACGCGTGAGATAAAGACGCCCGCGCCATCTGGGATGCTGGGACCGGTAATCGCGACCGTCGTTCCGAGATTCGATTTTCTCCATTCGTCTCCGCCCCTTTTTATTCCTAATTATATTTGTTGAAGACTCTCGATTCCGCAAAATCCCCGTGTCATCGTCCCGTGCCCGCAAATCCCACACTTTCCACACGCAACGTTAACAATCACTCATTGACTTTTGTACTCAATCTGTCCGATAAAGAAACATTTGCAATCTCCATCACGAGTCATCGGCCGAGCCCGGTGCCCAACGGGCGAGCTCGTTCCGTAGGGATTTCGGCGATCGCCTCGCGGATCTCCCGTCCGGCGGCGGCCAGAGAACAGCGGAATCCGTTCTCGATGAATCACAATTAATGCACAAAGAGTCGCGCGTGCGTACGGCGGCGGCGGTGGCGCTGCACGAGATTGCGCATGCATGGTTTATCGGCTCTCTGGAGGGGCGTAGAAAGGAGGCCATATTGTACAGTTAAATTGAAAGAACGAAAATAATTGTATCTCCGTGTGATCGTTCATACGTGCGTCCGTGCTGTTCCGCCGACGGTTTCCCCTATTTTTATCGCGCACCGCGTCGCGAGGACGACCCGTCCGCTCATAATCGCGCGTGGCAGCGAGAAAAGCAGCCTACAGGAGAGCCAATCGGCGGCTCTTGGCCACCTCCGTCTTTGTATATAAGCCATACATCGCGCAGTAGTACGGCTCGAGCCTAGAGTCAACCCGAAATCGGCTCGCTGAAAGGTGCTTGTTGCTGCGGTCGAAATGGGCACTCGGGACGACGAGTACGATTATTTATTTAAAGGTAAATTATGACTCTGCTTCTCTTCTCTCTCGTTCTCTTTCTCTCTCCCTCTCCCATTTCGTTCCTCTCCCTCTCTTGCTATCTCTCTCTCTCTCTCTTTCTCTCTCTCTCTCTCTCTCTCTCTCTCTCTTTCCGTACTCCGGGACACGATTGTCGCGAGTGCTCGGGACGATCCTCTTCGGAGCAGCCCTCGGCATCCAGCCGACGAGGCATGCAGCCGGGGGATCGCTTCCATTTTATGGCAGGACCGCGTGCCGTATAACGTCACGGCGAACGTCAGTTCGCACGGGCTTAAACGGTGTACGGATCCGTTGTGTCGCCTGTCGACAGCGATACGCGCGCGCGATGACATCAGAGACGATGACCCACCACACGGAGAGGCGGAGAGGAGGCCGATGCTTGCTCATCGCTGCGGGCGACCTCCCGTCGTCCTCGCCTTCGCGGTGTCTCGCGAATTTGAATTTTCTCGCCGACAGCGGCGACGAGGAGGACGAGGATGTCTTGCCGCATCCGCCGATCCCCGGGCTTTTCCCTCCTCCTCTTCCTCCTCCGCCTCCTCCTCCTCCTCCTCCTTCTCCTCCTCCTCGACGCAGCCCTCCTCCCTGCCTTGGCTCGGCGCGCGAGGGGCTCTCCTCTTTTCCGCCCCGCTTGAAAAAGAAAAATAATGTCGATGTACGGGTCGTGATTATTGCATTACGTATGTAATTGAACGAGTAAGAATATGCGAGCGCGATATATGCGCATGTATCGAATGTATCGAATGTATGCGCGATGCATGATTGCGTGTCCACGGTGTTACTAGCCGCTGTTGTGTCCCTGTGTATGTGTGTGTGCGACGTGTGTATGTGCATGCGTGCGTACATTACGGATACATACAGAAGTTTTTTCGACCCTGTCATGCCGCACTTTCGAAAGCAACGGGTGCTGCCGCGTGCACCAGGGCACTTCGGTCTCGGGGCGATTTTCACGCCCTTCTGCCGGGGATTCCTTAGGCGGCAATTAACGTTAATGGATTAATTGTGCGTCCATGAATGTAGGTTTATTCGACTATTTCGCATTATCATTCACTGGGCGATCCCCATTAGCTTTTCTCCTCCGCTCTTGACCCTTGGCTTCGCGAGAATTTAATATAATCATGTACTTGGACCTATCATTGCCGCGATTTGAATACACAATGTTGTGCTGTCTAGTTAGCCGTGTCTTCCTGCCTCGTTTGAGCGCTTTTGAAACATTTAGCATTGTGTGGAAATTATATATAATTATACATAGCTTTTTGTAAAAGTAGTAGAAGAGATACACAGCAAAGTTCCTATCTCTGAATTGTTTTACTAGAATAAATCATCACTAATTTCTTAGCACAAATAAATAATAATGATTCTTACAACAAATTAATTAATACACTTGCAAATATATATTCATTTTGTGTATTAACTTCATGTGATATATTTATTATTGCATTTATTTGTTGTTATATTATGTTTCTCAATTCTACATGCGTTATATTTCACTAATGATATAACTGGTATCACAGAAAGACCAGACATTTACTTATTTTATCTGTTTTCTTTCTCTGCTTCTGCTATGCTTTACTTCCAAGACATCTGAGTAGTAATCAACAGGAAAGCACATGCATACATATGACTCTGTTGTATGATGTGGCACTGTTTCACTGATTCACTGATTCTGCACTGGAATTTTTAGTCTTGCAGATAAAAAGTTTTATACGGTCAAGCTACTAAGTCAGCACTTTTGGTTTTATAATTTTTTTATTCATGAAGCAAAATGATATATTTGGTCTTCTAATATTTCATCATTCTTTGAAAGAACTTTTCAAAGAATTTCTTAAAATTAATATTATTATCTTCAACTGCTTCATACACAAACAATTTTTATACATCAAGCATCCGAAGTAAAAAAATATTAAATATATGAAGAAATATCTTTAATTTCATTGCATATATCTCAGCAATATAAGAATATTAATATAATAATAAAATAAATAATCTAAATAATTCTTATAGTTATATGCAATCTTGCTGCAGATGCTAAAAGAGAAAGATATCCTTTTTCCGTATATAATTATCATTATATATAATTATTATATTAAATAATTGATAGTTGATATATTATATCGATAGCTATTGATATCTGGGAATAAGAATAACCAAGTATCTTTTTCTATTTATAGCATAGTGTTGATAGGAAGAACAGTCATAATGCCTGAAATATTTCTTATGTTTTCCTTTGTCTTTCTAAACCTGTTGCCTGATTTACTCCTAAGACTCTACACATATACTATATTTCAACAATCAGTTTCACAATATATAATAATATGCATATTATTTTTATCCTTATTATTCGTATCCATATTATATTTAATCAATTCTCTTTGTCTTTTCAGTTGTTCTCATTGGAGACTCTGGAGTAGGAAAAAGTAATCTTCTATCTCGATTCACAAGAAATGAATTCAACTTGGAGTCAAAGTCTACCATCGGAGTTGAATTTGCAACACGCAGTATACAAGTAGATGGTAAAACCATCAAAGCCCAAATTTGGGATACAGCTGGGCAAGAGCGTTATCGCGCGATTACTTCTGCGTAAGTTTTCACACTCACCCTGATTTATCATATTGTTCTTAATAATATCATGTTGTAATGTGGATTATGTATAATATAATTTTATAAGTCACAATCCTTAACATGAGATCATATTGACAAATTAATGCAGATACTAAAGCTGAACAAAAAAGAAAGAAACGCATCCTGTTTCAAGTAAAATTGGCGGGACACTCGGTATATAATTATAAATTTTACATGCAATATTAATAATCCTTTCCGAATTGTTAGATATTACCGCGGAGCAGTTGGTGCGCTACTCGTGTACGATATTGCAAAACATCTGACGTACGAAAATGTAGAAAGATGGTTACGAGAATTACGGGACCATGCTGATCAAAACATTGTGATCATGTTAGTGGGAAATAAGTCAGACTTAAGGCATCTGCGTGCTGTTCCGACTGACGAGGCTAAGGCGTTTGCTGAGAGGAATGGCTTGTCTTTCATTGAAACATCCGCTTTAGACTCTACTAACGTTGAGACAGCGTTTCAAAATATATTAACAGGTAACAGACCTCGTTCACAATACCATCATAGGGAGCTAGTGTACCACTGAGCCGATTGTTGAAGATCGTAGTCCTTGTTAGATCTATAGTACAGCTAACATCATGGTGTATGTTTTCCTGAAGACAATCGCCATACTTTCATATGATTATCAATGCTATATGTGTGTGCTGTGTTATACATAAGCTCCTTTGGATCATAGGATGTAGAATTTATTTTTATGTAATTTTTTTATCAGCATATATTTGTTAGAAGCACATTTTTTATGAATCGCAGGAAGCGATGAACTACTAACATAAGTTTGATTTTAGTTAATCGAACCATGTTTTATTCCATATTTTTATATTTCACATACATATTAACAAGACACACTATTATAATTTTCTTTAATTTTTCAAAGGAAATTTTAATATTGCAATAAAGATAGAATTTAATGATATTTTTCCTGCACCAATGTTAAAATATTTATCATATACTAGATGATATACTAGATCAATATTGCAATGTAATATAACAAAATATGTTCTTTTTACAGAAATATACAGAATCGTATCGCAAAAACAGATACGAGATCCACCTGAAGGTGATACAATCCGGCCACAAAATGTAGAACAAATTGAAGTCAAACCAACGATGAATGCCGAGGGAATGCGTAAGCAGTGCTGCCAGTGACTCACCTTGTTGCTTAAAATGTGTGTACACATAAATACAGTATGAATATCACGGAAGTACAGTTGCATAATATCTAATTTCTAACAAAAGAAAAGATTTAGTCTGTGATGCAGTAAGAAAATGAAAAAAAAAATGAAAGTTTCTGGGATAATTCTTTGTATGCTAGGATAGATTTAATATAAGGAAATTGTGGTTAGTTAATTATACATGTTAACTTGATTGTAAATTGAGTTACTTTTAACATATATCACAATTAAATATTACTAAAGACACTTCCATCACGTTTTTTTATTCCAATAATTTCTGCTCTATATACTATTTCCTTAATAACAAAACAAAAGTCGAAGAGTCATTCACTATTTTTTATTTCAAGTTGGGTTTTTCCTTGGTTCTCTTTCTCGAGATCGCTTCAAAAGCACATCCTTCAGGATCATTGACTCAGATTAAGTTCAAGATTCTGAAGTTATGCTATATTTGTAAGAGTCACTCTTCTTGCTATATTATTAAGCTCTCTCTTTTTTCTTTTTCCATTTCTTTTTTTTTTTCTATATATTTTTGTATGGTATATCTATAGAGATATTTTCTAAACTGTAGCCTTTTCAAGGTCTATAGTCCTCATGACATAACACATATACAATATTTGTTTAATTGGATCAGTTATTTGTACTTCAATAGAGAGTACGTTAACACACTCACACATCTAAAGTATGTTCGAAGAGAGCCAAATAAAAAGGAAAGGTATGTTAATGATACGCTAGAGAGCCAATGTATATTTCATATTTTTATTAAGTGTTATACTTGAAATGCTATGGTTTTTGATTGCGCAGATTGATCTGTATATTTGCGATATATTTTTGTTTTAGATTAATATATTTATTTATAGATGATTCTATATATGTGTGTGAATTATAGGTATAATACTCGAGAGATACAAGATATACAAATATTTTGTTCTAAATTATCTTCTTTTCATAAACGACCTTTGGTAATCGATCAGTCCCATCAGTTACGGCATTAGATCAATTATATTTTTATTATATTTAGAATGACTTCTCAGGCACACCTGTTGCTTGCAGTTTGACTGTTATGACAATTTCGTGAATTTTCTTTTGCAGAAGCGGTTATACGGCGGAGGAGATAATGGAAGTACTAGCTGATGGTAGATATAGCAGGTGCATCACAGAACGAGAGTTAAGACTATGTGCGCGAGCATGTAATCTCGTATGCTAGAAGAGGTTTTATCCTTACTAAATTACCAGGACATCCATCAGACCATATGTGAGAGAGCGTTGTATATGCATTATATATTCATGGTAATAATCAAGTAAGGATAAGCGTCGAAAGAGAAACTGTACGATGTACGCTGTAAACGCGAATACACGCGCGCGCGCGCACCATTCTACCCGCGAAAAAAAAGGGAAAAGAAAGGAAAGATAATTCATCTTTACTCTTTCTGTCTCTGTCTCTCTATCTGTCACGATATAAATTATGTTATAATAAATGAATGTTGTATTACTGCTTCTTTGTAATACATATATAAACAATTCTTCTTAACGCGTAGCGTGATCGTGAATATGTGAAAAAGCAGTTTATGGTTGTATATGCATTGATGAATATCATGAACAAGTTACTATCGTGCACTGCGTAGAAGGAAACAAACTAACGATAAGTAATGGGCTTACGGCGAATACAATAAAACGCGCCTGAAAAAGTAAAAAAAAAATAAACGGAAAGAAAAGAAACCAGTTGACTCGAGATAGTCCTTTCTCGTTGCTCACTCTCGGCTCTTCGTAAATATAGTACTAGTCTGTACAAGCTTGGGCACTACATGCTTCGGGATTAACTTTATTTTTACACACGGAGCTTTCCATCGAGACTTCTTACCAGTCGAAATTGTATTTAAGAACGAAGCTGTATAGTAAGCATTTTCCAAAACTCTAATAACGTTGCTTTCTGTGTGGTTGTATTGTAATATGTTATCGTCACGCGCTTTTATTGTATCCTAAATAAAATGGAGAGTGAGTTGAGATATATAAAAAAAGAAATGTCCATTTCTCTTGATGAGTTACGATGCGAAAAAAAACAGTTCTCAATCTATCACTCTTTGCATAATAATCTCTAGCAAAATTATTGAATAAAATGAAAAAAAGAAGCAAGATTAATAAAAGATAATTATAGTGCATCGTGCGTGCGTTTAACCTGATTTATAGTACGTCTAATTTATATATTATCGCGAATTATATATAAATATATATATATATATTCGTTGTAAGAAAATGAGAGAAATAATACAACGTTGTTTCTCGAAGCAATCTTAAAAATAATAAGGTAATCACGAGCATAATTATTATTTGATATAGCAGGCTTATTACTTTATTATGGACAACTCAGAACTGTAATGTGTATAAGCAATGTCAAAGTGACCATAGTTTTCTACAGATACCTTTGATTTATTCTGTATCCTTAGGCTGTATCGAGCTCTACAAAACTTAGGGAATGCGAATTTTATTTTCTTTTATGCTAAGTGAAATAGATTTATACGGTTGAATATTGAAGAATAATTTAAGCTATTATAAGATTGTTTTATCCTCTCATTTCATTGCATATAAAAAAGGGATATTATATCTACAACAGCATAGATTATTATTAATAATACCTTGTATTTCATTATTTTATTAATAAAAAACCAAATTTGCTTTTAAAAAGGACGGATATTTGTGACGAGTGTATCTACAGAATGCTTGAATGGCGTAAATCCTATTTTCACGTTGTGACATCGTATTCACGTACGATAGAATCAATCGTCGCTGTTTTCACGAAGAAAATATCACACTGTATCAGCTATTCAACAGTCTATACTATACTTTTACAAAGCCACTGTTATCGCGATAGTAAATCACAAGTAAAATATAAAACTTGTGAAGTACAATGTACTGTCAGATATAAAGATCAATTGTAGTTGAAAAAGCACTTATCCTGATAATATATGCATATATATATATACACATATATATATATATATATAATTATTTTATACAGTATATAATATTATATATGATAATAATAATTACAGGACATAGATTATTCATACACCTACACATACAAATAAGTTTGAAACTTATTATATTTTTAAATTAATATTGCAAGAATATACAAGAAGCCACAAAAGTATGGAACATACAGAATACATATTTTATAAAAAAATAAATCAGTATTCTGTCAAAAATGAAATTAACAAGATGTTTATTTACTTTAAATATATATAATATAGTACCTAGTAAATTATGTATTTTTAGTAGTAAATCGCGAAATATTTCAGATATTTAATTAAACATTAATATCAATTATCTAAATAATATTTATAAATAAGATAGTAATAAACACAAACAAAATTAAATAAGATAGTAATAAATACAAAAAAATTATTAAATAACTAAATGAGAAACGATCTATTGCTATTTATTAATTTCCGTTTAAAATGTTATCTATAGGATATCTTTATTTATAGATTTTCTATGAAATTTTTTTACGGAAATCTCGAGCAAAATGTTAAACAAGATTATTTTATAATATATTTTAAAACGTTGCATATCATGTTTTAATCAAACATAACTTGCATCCTAAAATGTTAATACTATAAAGTCAATACCGTTCAAGTTTACTGAAAATATAGAATATTTTGCATTATGTTAAAAAAAGTCAAAACATAGATACCATATATTTTTATACTGCTACTTACAAGTAAAAAAGCTACGGTGGTAGAGTTAAAGATGCTGGTTCCAGACGAATCGTGTTCCTTTGCGAATTACTGTGATTTTTCTGCCTCCATTCGAGCCACCGCATTAATTCTGGGTTTTGAGAGGTTTCATTAACGTCACTACGAGCTTCTAACTGTTGATAATACGCCTCTCGAAGCAATCGGAATGTCTGTATGTTTTTATATGGTAACTGTGTCATGGGATCCAAATATTTAGCAGGCAGTCTAAAAAGCAATTAAAAAATATTGGATATTTTAGGGGTATTCAGTTAATCTCGATATAACTTATTACCTGCTTAATATTATTTTTTACCTTGTGACTGCACATAAAGGTTTTAACGGAGCTCTTTGCTGTGTAGATTTCTTGAATACGCCTTGGTATGATTGATCATTTTCGAAAGTAATAAACGTGCGTTCATAAAACGTCCCAGTTTCTTCGCCAAAAATATCTTTCTTTTTAATAGAGGTCAAGTCTGTTGTGTCAGCAGATTCCTCTTTTTTATCATCCGTACAGTCTGCCTTTGATTCTGTTCTACTACATCAAATAAATAAAATAAAACATATTCCGTATTGTTTTATATATTACATACATATAACAAATGTTATGTAAATATTTACAGAAATAAAATAATTAATTATGTGAGTAAACACATCACTATGATAGTATAAAAAAATGCACTGTATATTATATACATACCTTCCTTCTTTTATGAAGATGATGTCAGAATTTGTATTAGAAACTGTGGTTGTATTTTTGTCACCATCACCTTCAACATTAATTCTTTCATCTTTATCATCTACAATGGTTTCAGATAGCACCATAACTGGCATAGATAGTGACTGATACCTGATCATTGGGCCGACGTGTGTTTTTCTTACAGTCCTGGTGTTTTTCTTTTCACTTTCTAACTTCTGATATTTTTCTATAACAGAAAACAAATCAATTATAGTTATTCTTCAAATAGAAAAGAAAGTACTTAAATAAAAATAAAAAGGATATTAAATGTGTATTTTATGTATACCTAGTGACTTCATATTAACTTCTTCTGTTTGCAGAGCTTCTTCCAGTAATTCCTCCTGCGTTGGTTTCCATACATCATGCCTTACAATCTTTGTCTTCCGCTTCTGATCTTCATTTCTTTCACGCAAGCGTTTTTGTGTAGCTGCAGACTTTGCAGCAGTAGAACGACGTATTGACTTTCTTCCTATGCAAAATATCACAATGAGTGTATAACTATGTGTATGTATACTATGAAAATAAACCATTTTATAATATATGTATATATTATAGTATATGTATACATGTAGTACATATATATTACCTATACTATCTATAAAAGTTTTAGTTTGTTTTGGCTGTTTTATTTTCCTTTCCTTAGGTGTTGATGTAGTATGTGATGCTGTAGCTTTAGGTTCCTTATAAGCCTTTGTTACCAGTCTACGTTTCTTTTTTGGCCCTTCTTGCTCAGTATCAGATACTGGCTCATCGTTCTCATCGATACTAAAATCTGAGTCTACCTCATCTTCTCCTTCATCTTCTTCCCTGAAGAGAATATTTATATAACCTGTCATGGGTTATCACATAGACATTATATATGTGTATATATGTAGATATATGTAACAACATGTAATCATGATCCTGCTCCACTTCGTCAAAGCCACCATATGTAGTTTTATAAAATTCATCCTCTTCCTCCTCATTTAATAATCTTGCCATTTTATTTCCTGCATTTGAACGTCTTTCTCTTGTTGCAGCCATCGTACATAAAACTTCTTGATCTCACTCTTAGTAGAATAAATATGTACACTTAATATTATCTAATTTCACGTTTCGAAACTTTAAGAAGAATAACAGATATTAAATATTTTGGTAATTATTTAGAAGACGAGTCTCACCTTGGATTTCGTTCAAACTCACTTATCTTACGTATTTTGACGTGTAAAAGCCGAAGTTGAAAATTAAAATCACCGCTCGGCTCTACTTTGCGAGAAATAAACTGTTAAAAAATGATACACGCGAGGTTAGGAAATCTGTCATGCCGGTAATATAGAGACTTGTGGGTTTGTAACTTTCCACGCGCAGCTAATGTCCGTTTCTACTGACTGTGGTTGACTCAACCAGCTGTTCATTCCAACGGAATGAACCAATCGCATCTGTCGTTAACCAATATTGGCAAATGCGATTGGTCAATTCCGATAGAGTAATCAACCGATTAAATTAATCACAGTTAATAGAAACGGGCGTAAGACGGGCAGGGTGCGGGAGAGGGGTCGAAGGCCTCCCTTGCACCCCTGTGTGTGTGTGTGTTTGTATGCACTAAACTATATTATGGTACTATATGTATACATATGTTTGAGACATTTTCATTTATTAAACATATGAATTTTTAGCTTATGTATCAGTGGTTATTTTTGTTGTGTAATAACCACTGATACATGAGCTAAACATTTATATGTTTAATAAATGAAAATGTCTCAACATATGTATACATACAGTACTAAACATAGTACACACCACACACACACATACACACACGCGCGCGCGCTCACACACACACCCTCGTGCCGCACGGGAGAGTGCAAGGGGGGCCTTCGACCCCTTTCCAGGTGATGACAAGACGTGGGAAAAGTCGCGCATGCGCACTAAGCAAACGCTGTGGTAGCTTCACGGACATATATATTTGAAGGTATCGTTAGGTTCCTACTATGAAAGAAATGTGAAGGAAATTATAGGGAAGAGAAAAGTTTCTGTTCAATAAATATAATATAGTTTATATATGAATAATAAAAGATAACGGTAATTATCCAGTTTAGGAGCTCCGCCTTAGAATTCGATAAAAATAGACTCAATCAATGCGTTTTTTAATAAGGAGCAACTTCTTCCTCTGCGAAAATCGTCGCTCTTCACTGCGAAATAAAAATAGTTAAAGTTGACTGGTATAACAGGTTAGGAAACCTGTCAAGATTTCGGATGGGTTCGCAACTTTTCACGCGCAACGAGGGGTGGGTGCGGGAGGGAGGGCCGAAGGCCCCCCCTCGCACCCCCGTGTGTGTGTGTATGTGTGTGTACATATGTTGAGGCATTTTTATTTATTAAACCAACGAATATTGTACACTCATTAATTTAGTAAAGCAGAAAATTTTAGTACAATTTCAATAAGATAAATTAAAAAAATTAAAAATAAATGTGGAATCGATAGTTATGATCTTTAATTGTTAATAATTTTTTTATTACGAAACTGATAAGTTAATGACATTTGATGAAAGATATTCACCTTATTAAAATTGTACTAAAATTTTCTGTTTTACTAAATTAATGAGTGTATAATATTTGTTGGTTTAATAAATAAAAATGCCTCAAACATATGTACACACACACACACACGGGGGGTGCGAAGGGGGGCCCCCCGCCCCCCCCCCGCACCCAACCCGTCCTCGTTGCGCGTGGAAAGTTGCGAACCCATTCGGAATCTTGACAGGTTTCCTAACCTGTTATACCAGTCAACTTTAACTATTTTTATTTCGTTTCGCAGTGAAGAACGAGAATTTTCGCAGAGCAAAAGGTTACTCCTTATTAAAAAACGCGTTGATTGAGTCTATTTTTACCAAATTCTAAGGCGGAGCCCCTAAACTGGATAATTACCAAGATAACAATAAAACTTATTAATTTATAATTTTTTTACATCTGCAGCCAATATATTATATTTATTATTCCTATTGCAATTATTATCACTGTTCTTTCTTAACTTATCACTATACTTATCATTACATTTATCGCTACACTTATTATAACATTTTACATTATGAACATACAGGGTGTCCCATTTTAAGTGTCCACCCCAAATATCTCTTATTTTTGATTTTAGAAAAAAATGGTTCAGACACGTTTTGTATGGTTTCGAGGGGGCCATAAGATGGTACCATTGATTTGACCTTGAAGAGTCATTTGAAGGTCACGTGAAGGTTACTTCAATTTTTTTAGATGGCATCCCCTATTTTTCATTACACATTCTTGTAGCTGACTTCGAGAGCTTCCCAAAACACTATAATCAAATGTTTTTTGGTGAAATACTTTTCGAGTTATAAAGCTCCAAATTTACAAAATTTTGATAAAAATACAAAATATTTCGTAAAACATTCACATTCCGATAGTCTTATCTTACATGATCCAACAGTCAAGGCAAGATCCGAGCATGATCCAGCCAGTCAAGGCAAGATCCGAGCATGATCTAGCCAGTCAAGGCAAGATCCGACCATAAACCAGCCAGTCAAGGCAAGATCTTCTTTTGTGTACAATTACTTAAAGTGTTCAAAAACTTGGCCATTTACTTTTATGCATAGCTCTAGTCTATGGTGAAAGTCGTCCCTAACTTTTTCAAGAACACCTACATTAATATTTCTGCAAGCCTGTCTGATCCGGTTTTTCATATTTTCAACGGTTGTAGGCTTTTGTGAATAGACTATATCTCTAATTTAGCCCCAGAAATAAAAATCTAGGGGTGTCAAGTCGGGTGATCTTGGGGGCCATTCTTGAACTCGGCTGCCCATACTAATCCACCTATTTGGGAATCTATTGTTTAAATATTGTGTAACAGCTCGAGATCTATGAGCCGGTGCTCCATCTTGTTGGAACCACATTCGTCTGAGTAAATCATTGTCGACATGTCTCAAAAGGTTGAGCAGGTTATCTTGAAGAAATTTTAGAGATTGCCGCATTGAGATTTTCTTAAAAAAAATATGGACCAACAATAACATCTCCCAGGTTACCTGCCCAAACGTTAATGGACCACTGCCGTTGGAACTCTTGGCTTCTCTGCCAATGTGGATTAGCATCTGAATAATAATGGCAGTTATGTCTATTAACCTCTTCTATTACAAAACGTGGCTTCATCAGAAAAAAGCGTATTAGCAATGAACCGGGGATTTTGTTGGATTTGATCTCGAGCCCAGTTACAAAAACGTACACGGCGTAGTTGGTAGTCCCTCTCTTCCAATTGCTGAGTTAGATGAATGTGATATGGGTGAAACTTGTTGAGCTTGAGCACACGATTGGCTGTTGATTTAGATATACCGTATTACCTCTCAATTTGTCTCGTAGAGATTTGAGGATTCAAAGCAACGGCACCTATAACAGTCAATGATGTGACTTCATCAAGGCCTGATTTTCACCGGTTTCTTCTAAGAATACCCTGTTCAGCTCTGTCGCAGAGTCTTTTTATTACTTTCCTATCAGGATGGCGTCTGTTTGGAAATCTTTCAGCATAAAGCCTTTCTGCTACCGAGTAATTATTCCTGGCCTCACCCAAAATGTAAATCATGTCCACAATTTCATTTGGTGGGTAAGCAGTCATAATTATAAAGAAAAAAAGCGCCAAGAAACCAAAAATTCCTGTCCTACCAAAAAAAAGTCAATGGATAATAATATGCATCTGTCTGAGACTTCGTCCAAATACCGACAGTTGCCCAAGTAAGAAATTTGAAACAAGCCTCTTGATATTTGTTTCATTAAAAGAATTGACAATTGCACTTTCACAATTGTTACAGTTCATTGATTATCAGGCAATATAGGATCTCGTCTTGACTGGCTGAATCATGCTCGGATCTTGCCTTGACTGGTTGGATCATGCTCGGATCTTGCCTTAACTGGTTAGATCATGCTCGGATCTTGCCTTGACTGGTTGGATCATGTAAGCTAAGACTATCGGAAAGTGAATGTTTTACGAAATATCTTGTATTTTTATCAAAATTTTGTAAATTTGGAGCTTTATAACTCGAAAAGTACTTCACCAAGTGAAGTACTTCACCAAAAAAACATTTGATTATAGTGTTTTGGGAAGCTCTCGAGGTCAGCTATAAGAATATGTAATAAAAGATAGGGAGTGCTATTTATAAAAATTGAGGTAACCTTCACGTGACCTTCAAATGACTTTTCAAGGTCAAATCAATGGTACCATCTTATGGCCCCCTCGAAACAATACAAAACGTGTCTGAACCATTTTTCTCTAAAATAAAAAATAAGAGAGATATTTGGGGTGGACACTTAAAATGGGACACCCTGTATATATATATATATATATATGTGACATTCCACGTCAAGTGGCCCCTCCCTCTGTCCAAAAATTGAAGCGAGTTTAAATATTGAGTTTGGGCTTAAAATGTTCGTATAAGCGTTCGTATGGTTTCGATTATAGGGGTTTAGAAGCTTATGGGGCTATATGGTTATGGGGTTATGGGGTTTTGAGGGTTATAAGATCAAGGGGTCATGGGATTAATAGTTTATGAGGGTTTTAGGGCCAAACAGCTTAATTAAAGCGATTATTGAGATGACAAGTCGTATAAATAATATTGTAAGATCACTTCATCAGGTTTTTGAGTTATTTTGCTTATGGAGTCATGGGGTTATGTAGTTTTTCAAAAAGGCCACTCAAATTTCGAAAGCCCTCGCTTATACGAACATTTTAAGCCCAAACTCAATATTTAAACTCGCTTCAATTTTTGGACAGAGGGAGGGGCCACTTGACGTGGAATGTCACATATATATATATATATATATATACAGGGTGTCCCATTTTAAGTGTCCACCCCAAATATCTCTCTTATTTTTTATTTTAGAGAAAAATGGTTCAGACACGTTTTGTATTGTTTCGAGGGGGCCATAAGATGGTACCATTGATTTGACCTTGAAGAGTCATTTGAAGGTCACGTGAAGGTTACTTCAATTTTTATAAATAGCACTCCCTATCTTTTATTACATATTCTTATAGCTGACCTCGAGAGCTTCCCAAAACACTATAATCAAATGTTTTTTTGGTGAAGTACTTCACTTGGTGAAGTACTTTTCGAGTTATAAAGCTCCAAATTTACAAAATTTTGATAAAAATACAAGATATTTCGTAAAACATTCACTTTCCGATAGTCTTAGCTTACATGATCCAACCAGTCAAGGCAAGATCCGAGCATGATCTAACCAGTTAAGGCAAGATCCGAGCATGATCCAACCAGTCAAGGCAAGATCCGAGCATGATTCAGCCAGTCAAGACGAGATCCTATATTGCCTGATAATCAATGAACTGTAACAATTGTGAAAGTGCAATTGTCAATTCTTTTAATGAAACAAATATCAAGAGGCTTGTTTCAAATTTCTTACTTGGGCAACTGTCGGTATTTGGACGAAGTCTCAGACAGATGCATATTATTATCCATTGACTTTTTTTTGGTAGGACAGGAATTTTTGGTTTC